CCCAGGGGCTCGCACCCCGCCCCCCCGGGCAAGCTCCTGGCTGCCTCTGGAGCCCCTGTGCCAGTCGTGCCCTGCTCGGAAGGAGGGAGGGGAGAAACAGCCAGAGCTGCCCCGATGCAGAGCGAGCTCCGAAGGGGCACTGCTGCACCAGCACAGGCTGCTCGGCCCCGCACACTCCGCAGGGACGGACAGACAGACGCGCCGGAGGAAGGAGCCGCCCGCCCCGTTCCCCTACCTTTGGAGGGCTGTGGTTCCCTGGCTCAACGCGGGTGCTGTAGTCAGATCCAGTCGGCCATGTCTTCCTGCTGCTGCCGCCGCTGCTGGAGAAAGGCTGATGTATGAACATCTATTTTAAGCCATGACATGTCCAGAGGCAGGTTTGTTTATATCATGCTGTGCATGGATGGGTCAGGGAGGAAGGAGGGAGACGGACACCAGTGCAGGGACAGCATGCAACGTACACAGACAGGCACCTAAGTGCCCATTACTACGCAGACAAAAAACCAGCAACAATAACATTAAAATTCTCCTGCCAGCTTTTCTCTCACTCCTCCTCCAGCAAAGCAAAAGCCACAGATATGCAGAGAAGGAGAGAAGAAAAAGCCGATAAAGTGGTGCTGATGACATGATTACCCAAATCATGAATCTGTAGCTGTCTCTAGAGGATGCTCCTTCATATTTTTTTTTTTTACAGTTGACCTTGTCCTCCCCACCTGCTCAGGTCTCTTTGGCAGAGCCAGGGCTTAGTGACATTTTCTTCATTTGCTAAGAAAACAAGCCTAGGGGGGATGTATGTGGTGAGATGACAAACTATTTACAAATGCGTGTCAAAGTCAGGGAATACTTTTTTTCTGGGGGAAAAAAAAAAAAAGGAAAAAAGAAGAAACTCAAAAGATCGAAGCTTTTTGTTTTGACATTTTCTAAATGACACCATTCATTTCACAAGTGCTGCAATATTTCAGTTAAACATTTTCCAGGCAGAATATTCTCCTCTTCCCTTTGAAGTGCTGGCTTCCAATTTAAAAGTTTGACTCAAATCAGAAAGTAGGAGTGTGGTGGGAAAAACAACCTGAGGAAGAATCGAAACATGCTGTTCCAGGCCAAATGACACATCCTAAGAAGATTTATGGCATTCCCTCCTCCGCTCCTATATGATTAAAACCCAGGAAAATTTCCTGGTTTGTTTTTCAGCTGAACTTGTGTTTAGCCCAGGATGCAACCTCAGAAGCTTCAGGGATGAACTCAGCATCACTGGATACCCGTCCTGTCCCACCTGCACTGCAGTATGTGGACAAGATGAGGTGTAGCTGGGCTTTTTCAACATCCATCACAGACAGCACAGCCCCCGGGAGCGCAGCCTCTGAGCAGCACCCACCTTTCAGGATATCACGGGCCTGTTTTCCACCCCCTCCATCGTGCACAGCTAAATGACAGGGTTGTCAAGAGCTGTACTGGAGGTTAACAGCATACATGGGTTCAGAAAGACTTTGCACACACCTGGATTTCAGATCTCTCAGCCTTCCCCATGAAGTTCTGGATAGAGTTTCAGCCTTGGAAGCTGATCACACCCCAGAAGCTGGAGGGTAGGCTCAGGAAGGCACTTGGGATATGCCCTTCTCTTAACTGCTTTCCCCAAGCAGTCACTGCTGGCCGCTGTAGGAGCTGGGTACCAGGGATGATGGACTTTGTCTGTTCCAGTTTCTTCGCACCTGCAGAAATATTCACCCGGTGCTAACAAGTTCCAGGAGAGATCCACATGCAAGACTAACAAAGCTCTCAGAGCTCCAGATCCAGGGGGTCCCCATAAGCCCTCCTGCCAGCTACACTCACCTCATTCTCAGGGAACAGAGGCTCCAGCTTTGTCCATCCCAAATGCTCCTGATCAAACAGCTCCGCTGCGTGAACCTTCACTGGCTCCGTGTCCATCAGCTGTGCTGAGGCAGCAGATGCAGGATGTCAGGTAGCTGCAATGCCACCAGCTCCAGGCACAGAGAGGCAGAGCTACTAGGCACAGCCCTGCGGGCTGGCCAGGAGCAGCCTGCCCCTCTCCTGGCATGGCCTCTGAAAGCTCCTGCCCTCAAGAAATGCTGCCCTGCTGCCAGCTGCCTCTGCTCCCAGGCAACAGGCAGCCAGGAGCAGTTGCTGGTCCCATCCTTTGGCTCCTCTTCAACGCATGAGAAGCAGCACCCAGAGACCTGATTTATCCCCTTCCTCCGTGGTTTGCTCCAGCTCCTCCATGCCCAGCCTCCCAGGGACACACAGACAACAGCAAGGGACAGAGCCCAAGAAGTCCTGGGCGAGGGCTGGCTTCACTGTCCTCACCGAGCTAATGGTATTTCACTGCCATGTGATGCTGCCAGCTTGGGAAATGCCTGTCCTGTACCCTGAATAGGGGGTTTGAGTCCACTTACTTGCAGCAAGGGTGAGCTCTTCACTTCTGCCTGGCAGTGCTCCTCCAAAAAACAGGGATCGAGTGACCTAAAAGGAAATTTACACTTTCACAGCTCTGCAAGACACTTTTAAAATGGACAAGCAGAGGCTCTCTCCTTCCCTTGCATCAAGGAATTACGTTCCCAGTGGTCTGTAAAACGTGCTTCTAAACACAAGTGCCTACGACCCCCATCACGAAAGGTTAAATTTGAATTTAAAAAAACTACATGAAATAACATTAGGTGGACAAATGTTTTGGCAGAGCATTGCCTGCAGGGAACTTACTGGTCATTTAAACAGAGGATTAGTAGTTGTTATGTTTTTATTCCAATAATAATACTGGAATTGCTTTGTATAGCAGCCAGAAGTCCCCAACAAAGACAGTGACTGCTTCTTAGATAATGAAATCTCAGATGCTTTGAAATGCCTGGGCAGCTGCATCAAGGAAAAGTGTCAGCAATCTGTCTTTTTATAAGAGGAGTTTCTTATACGCAGACCAGACCTCTTTGCCTCACCTCCTCTCCTTGTTTTCCATAAACATCAGTGCTGTAGCAGAGACTGAGTTGCTCCTTGCTCCCTGGTAGGATTTATCAGCTCAGTATATTGCTTCTGAAGCTCCTGTCCTTGAAGACGAGCGGCCACTCAGAGCACTGGAACTAGTCAGCAGGCTCAGCGGGGGCACAGACACCACTTGGGGTTTGTTGTGACTTTCACATCCATATTGCTCAGTTTCCCCAGGCCAGAGTCCCATC